TACCTCTGGAGAGTGGGCTGGATGGGGTTAGTCCTGGTTACCTCCGGAGAATGGGCTGGGTGGGGTTAGTCCTGGTTACCTCCGGAGAGTGGGCTAGGCGGGGTTAGTCCTGGTTACCTCTGGAGAGTGGGCCTGGGGCTTGGTCAGCAAGAGGGAAACGTGTATGGACATTTCCTTCACATCTTTCTCTACCATCTTTTTTTTTTTTTTTTTTACTATCTTATATATAGTTTAATCGTTTAAGAAACATACACCTTTTTTTTTTTTAAGTGGGAATGGTCAACGGTGCCAACCACTTGTGAAAGGTCAAGCGAAAGGAGGACTGGAAAGAGCCAGCTAGATCCGGCCACGAGGAAGCTGGTGCTCTTTACCCAGGCATGCTCCATGTGGCTGCAAGGGCAGAAGAAACCCACAGAGGAGAGAGAGAGTGGCAATCCAGGCAGGCGACTCGCCGATTAATGGAGGGGGGTGGAGGGGGCCGATGGAGTTGGGGTGCAGCTGGGGAGGGGTCACAAACTAGTAGCTCCTCGCAGGGTTGGTGAGGCCGACCGAGAGAGCAATGGAGGGTGCTGGGCACAGGGCCTGGTGCAGAGGGCTGGTGGTCAACAGCATTGGCTGCTAGGAGGAGGCCGCGGGTAGTTTAAGAACACAGGGTTGGACTGGCCTTGGAAAAGAGCAGACCCTTCTTCCTCTGAGGCACGGAGACAAAGAGCAGACCCTTCTTCCTCTGAAGCATGGAGACAAAGAGCAGACCCTTCTTCCTCTGAGGCACGGAGACAAAGAGCAGACCCTTCTTCCTCAGAGGCACAGAGACAGGAGGGAGGTAAGGGCGGATGCAAACACGCTTGAGTTTGTGGGAGGCACAGGGAATCGGGGGTTCAGCTCTGTGAGGTGAAGGCAAGGTCATCAGTGGAGAGGCCAGGGGCGGGCTACACAGTGGTTTGAGGGGACAGGGAGACCCGCAGGCTCATCAGAAGGGAATGGAAAAGAACACCACGTAGAGATAATACTTACATCAATAAGGTTTTTAGCTTTAAAAACATCTCCAATTTCACACATGATGATATCATCTTTAGTCCTTCCAAGTCCATCAAAATGAACGTGTTGAACCACCACCTAAATGCAGCAAGGGGATGCTGATCATTAAATACGACACAGGGTCGAGATGAGGCATCGAGACTAGAGACAAATATCTGAAATTCACTTCAATCTATTTTTTTCAAGTTTAAGGACCCATTCTTCTTACTTCTGAACTGTTTTCTATTTATTTTTCATGCCTTTCCAAAAGAACCAGCCACCTGGACTTCTCCTTCGCTAGGTCCGCACTTCCTGTGAAGGAAATCTACAAGTCTCTCCAGCCAGACCATGACCACGGTGGCCCTGAACACAGGTGTCCTCAGAGGCCCCCTGCTCTGCCTGTCAACGTGCACATTTAGCTAGCTATCTTCCGTGGGTTTCGCCATAGTATGAGAAACGCTTCTTCAAAGAGCCTCTGCCTTCTCGCTGGAATGTAAACTCTTCAAGAGAAGAAACTGCTTCCCCACTGTTCATAAAAACCGCTTAGCATAGAGTAAGGACTCCATAAATGCTTATTTCATTCATTCATTCAATAAAAATGGACTGATTACCTAGGAGCCAGGTACTGTTTTCAACACTGTGGATATAGCAGTGAACAAAACATAAATCTCTGTCCAAATGGAGCTTATGTTCTCAAGGGGGGAGAAACAGGTAACGTGTTTTGTATAATAAAACCACAGCCATGAAGTCAATTCCGAATCACAGCAACCTTACAGGACAAAGCGGAACTGCCCCATAGGGTTTCCAAGGCTGTAATCTTTACAGAAGCGGAATGCCACATCTTTCTCCCTCGGAGCAGCTGGTGAGTTTGAACCGCTGACTTTTCGGTTAGCAGCCGAGCACTTAACCACTGCACCACCAGGGCTCCCTCATGTTGTATAACAGGTGGTGATAAAGCAAGGATGGGGATAGGGAGTACCAGGGAAATCTGTACTTTTTAAATTATAGGTGATCAGAGGATGCCTTATTGAGAAGACCTTCATTAAAGAATTAATGAAAATGTGCTTACATTTCTTCAGGTGTATTTAAATTTCAGGGGCAACAAAGTTTAGAAAAAGTGGCAGTTGAGACCCAAGGTCTTTTTTCTGGGTGCAAGAAGCAGAAGTATAAACTTAAGTATAATCTGAGCTTGTCTTTGAACTACTTTTTGTTTATAACACAAATATAAAAATGTGTTTGCCTAAGCCTCCCGCATAAATAATCATCAAGGAAAAAGCTATTTCTCTAAAACCAGAAACTATTTTTCTAAGTCACCAGTCTTTTGGAAATTTAGTTGGTTACAAACTCTTCTTAGATAAAAGTACTGAAACAGGTTCATCTAATGGATCACTGAACTGAATGCTTCTAGTAACACCTATACCAAGGCCAGCAGCAGATACTCACATCTTTGTTCTCCAGAATTTCCTGTTTCGCTTCAGGTTCAACTTCAACAAATTCAGCTTCTTCTCCTAATGCACCAAAATCAGGTCCACCGACTGGGAGAGGCTCCAAACTCTGAGAGGGAGGAGGGGGGACCACAGATCAATAAAGCCGTGACATAAAAAAACCAGTCTGTGGGTTTTGTCTTTAGATGGAGCTCCAGAACATTCACTACGGGGGTTCCGTGTGCGGAGTGGAGGCAACGGCAGGATAGGAGCAGGAGCACAGGGCAGATGTAAGCTGCTGTTAACAGGATGTTCCTGGCTCGGCACTGAACTTGTCGGTGTTCACTGTATCATTAAGATTCTCCATATTATAATAAACAAAGATAAAAACTAATTAGCTAAGAGTCATACATGAAACTATGACGACGGTGTGTCACGAACCAAGGACACCGGAGGCCCATTTAAAGAAAATAAATAGAAATAAGGTGCCACAAAGACATTTACAGGGGGTGGGGGGACAAAACCTTGCTTTCCTGTTATAAAAGTATCTTGATTTTTGGAATCGAAATGGGACAGCTACACTGACAAACTAAATTACCAAGAAAACATTTTGTTCTGGGCCTTGACAGATTTTTTCAGTTAAGAAAGTTCTGTTCACACACTACAAAGAGCTATGTATGCTCATAAAATGGGCCAGGAAGCTGTCAGTCCCCAGCCTGAACTGACACCATCTCAAAAGCTTGAAAGCATCTTCTGAATAAGGATTCCATAGGCTACACCAGATTTAGTACTTCCAGGGAGACATAACGATAGTAGAAAATGTATACTATATCTCACATATACTTAAATATGACCAAAACTAAAAACCAAACCTGTTGCCATTGAGTCGATTCCGACTCATAGCGACCCTATAGGACAGAGTAGAACTGTCTCATAGGGTTTCCAAGGAGTGGCTGGTGGATTTAAACGGAACTGCCGATCTTTTGGTTAGCAGCTGAGCTCTTAAGCACTGAGCCACTAGGCTCCTATGTATGACATAACATATAACCAAGTCTGGGAAACATTGTGCTAACCCGCATCTGGCTGTTTCCTTGCTTCACTAGCTCCCTACCATTAAACATGTTTAAAAGTGCACAGATGCACGACATGAACATAATCAGTATCACTGAATTATACGTGCAAAAATGGTTGAATTGGCAAATGTTATGTGTATTTTTACCATAATTTTTTTTTTTTAAGTGCAGAGATGTGTTTGACATCTGTGGTACGTGGAGCCATGGGGACACTCGACAGCCTCCACTAGCACACCTTCACACTGTCACTAGTTCTTTGGGACGGTAACTGGCCTGACGGTGTCATGTCCCTCTTTCCTTCCCTGCCCTAAACGATTCCAATGGCCCTCAGAAGTGCTGATAGGGATAGAATCCAACTAGATTCCTCAGCAGGGACACAGAGAACTTCACGGTAAGTCCCTCGTCTGCTACTCCAGGGTTGATCTCACCACTCCCCCGACCCTCACATCCATGCTTCTGCACACCTTGTCTCCCCTGCCCAGAATAATCATTTTTCCCCTCTGCAGCTGCGAAGATCCACCACAAACGTCATCTCCACTGTGAGCCACTCAGGAGGGCCCAGCCCCTCCTACACAGGAACGTCTCCCAATCCTAGGAGTCTGTGACCTCCTTGGGCGCGCCTCCTTTCTCCTATCTGTATCTGCCCCAGCTTGTTAGAAGTGCTCAAGAAATACTGGTGGAATGGATGAATGAATGGAGTTTTTTGTGGTTGTGTCTTCATTGAACACCTATCGCCTGAGTACTTATCATGTGCCAAGCACTGGGCTAAGAGCTGGGAATACAGCAGTGCACAAGACTAGTATTTACATAATAAAAGTTTACATAAGTAAAAATAAAATAAATGAAAAGTAATATATTTACACAAATAGAAAAGAAGCTAATGCTGGACAAAGAATATACGATTCCTTATCAATATCCTCTCATTTTTGTTGTGTAATATTTTAAAAATCGAATCATTATTCTCAGCAAACAGTGACTTTACCTGCACCATTTCACCAACATGCTTGTTTGTAAGTTTATACAGTACAAAAAGTGTACTGAAGTTGTGGAGGCTGTGCGTGTGGAATACACGGTACAGTCAGGAATATGTGCACATAGTCATTCCTCGTAATCTGAATGCTTAGCAAACATGTTTTGCCTGGGCACAAACTTCATAATCCATTACGCTAAAAAAAAAATCCCATTACCGTTTCTAAAGTCTCAAAGTACAAAACAAGGTTCACCAGAGACCTGTCGGACCTATTTGTATTCTTTAATCTGAAATTTAGACCTTAAGTTCAAGAGATGGTGTCTTTGTGGTTGCTCAGGTACACCAAAGCTTAATGTCCTAAATGAACTGTTTTACTAATATAGATTCATTCATCACCAAATATCATTAAGAACCTACCATGTGACAAACACTTATAAAACGCTCCTTCTTCTCACAGAATTTATATTGCAGTGTCTGGAAGAGCAGGTAACAGATAAGTACTTGATAAAATCAGTTAAAATAAGTCTTTGGATCTAGGCTCTAGCCTTTAAGCAGACCAATCTACCAATCTGTCCACAGGTTTTTACTGAGTTCCCCGTGCCACGCACTGTGCAAGGCGGGGGGACAGGACATAAAATCAACTTAATGAGTTATGACCAGCATGTTTAAAGGGATACAGACTAGACTCAAACAGAAAATATAAAAATACATAACGCATATCAATGGTACATATTTTTTCACGAAACTTTTTTCTCTTGTGGTGAACACACATACCAAAACACCCGCCTACACAACTTCCACGTTCCCAGTTTAATGACATCACTTACATTTTTCATGTCCTGCCACCATCATTTCACACAACTTTTACTTCACGTATACACAGGAATACTAGGTAGCAAACGTAAAATGTTTTCTTATTGTGAATCCTGATCGAAAAAGTTTGAAAATGAGTGGCTAGTGGGATGTGAAATTAAGGACTTGTAGACAGTCTCACACACACACACACACACACACACACACACACACACATTCTCTCTTTTTCTCTATATATATATCTACATATATATATCCCCAGCACTTAAAACAGTGCCAGGCACCTAATATGCCATCAGTAAATATTAGTTAAATAAATGACGGAATGCTTACTTGGTTAAGATGCTACAAGAGATGTTAGCCAGGTAAGATGCAGTTCCCACTGTAACATCTAGAAACACAGAATCTAACAGGATAAGACAAAAATGCAAACAGAGCAAAAACATGGCAGAATACAAATGGCACCACAGGAAAAATGCCAAGAAAACTGGCAGGATATCCAAACGAAGGGAGGTGAGAAAAAGCCTGTAGGAAGTGGCGTGAACTGCGAGTTCTAAAAGACAAGACTATTTTGACAGCTAAAGATGGAGGTGGGGTGGGTGATGGAGGAGGGAACTGTGTGCAACAGCACAGTCCAGAGGTGGGCAGACAGCGATGGTGTTTGACATGAACGAGAGCTATGCGAAGAGGCACCAAGTCCAATTCCCGATGCCAGGTCACAAGTCTGTACTACATCCCTGTGGAAGCCACTGGAAAACTTCTGAACAGGGCAAGTGAAACAATCTATGCTGCGGAAGAAAAGCAGTGATGAGGTTGGGAATCAGGAGGTCTGAGTCTAGAACATTCTGAGGCTCCAATGGCATGACCTTGGGCAAGTAACTTTCATCCTCTGGCCCTCACTCAAGGCTATCATAAACGAGAACATTTGGCAAGGAATTAGTAGGAGCCAAGAACCAAAGTTGTTGGATGCTGTTGAGTGGATTTCAACTCATGGTGACCCCATGCTACAGGGTAGAACTGTCCCACCAGGTTTTCAGGCTGTAATCTTTACCGCGGAGCCCTGGTGGCATAGTGGTTATGAGCTCGGCTGCTTAACAAAAAAGGTCAGCCAGCAGTTCAAATCCACCAGCCGCTCCTTGGAAACCCTACGGGCGGTTATACTCTGTCCTATAGGGTCGCCATAAGTTGAAATTGACTCAACCGCACACAACAACAATCTTTAGGGGAGCAGATCGCCACGTCTGTCTCCGGTGGAGCCGCTGGGTGGGTTCGAACTGCCCACCTTTCGGTTAGCAGCCAAGCGCTTAATTAAGTATTTTATATGCATTATGTCTTTTAATTCTCCCATACCTTGTGAGGAAGGTATATACTATTACTACCTCCACTTTAAAAAGAGAAACTAAAGCAAAGAGAGGTCCCATCTTTGCCCGGTAAACACGTCTACCTGACTCCTAGGTGGGCCTGCACTAGAAGTCCTCAAAGATTGTTCCTGCTCTAGGAATCTAGGGTGACTCCAGCAAAGGCTGGGCAGGGAGACGGGACAAAGCGACCAGTGAGATGCGAAGACACACAAAACGGCTGAGAGCGAAGTCAAGTCAGAGAAAAAGAACTTTTTACATGCTGCTCCAGGACTTTACGGAAAGTTCACTAGAACGTTCTGGGCCACTGACTCGCTGAGTGACCCTGGGCAAGTCAGGTCCCTCCTCGGAGCATCAGTTTCCTGCTCGGGTCCGCGACAACCACTGACCCGCGGCGACGTCTTTGCGGCCTCCTTCATTCGGCCGCGGCGGCCCGCTTGGGGGCGCTGCCCGCGGAAGGCCGGCCCGTCCCAGTCCCCTGCGGGCCTCCGGGCCCCGCCGCTCTCGACGCTCCCTCCTCAGGAGAAGCGCGGGCGCACCCCGAGAGCGTCTCCCCGCGGGCCCGCCGCCCAGGGGCAACACAGCCTAGGGTCACTGGGCCTCTTACCCGGGCATGCACCGTCCCCATGGCTCCCTCTCGAGCCGCCGCTTTGCAGAGCACTCGGCGGGCTGAGGGCAGAAGACGGGTCAGCGGCGGCGGAGGTCAGCGCACCTCCCACAAGCCCCCAGACGCGGCGCACCGGGGGCGACCATGATGCCCCGCCTCCGCCCCGCCCCCTTAGCTTCTGCTCATTGGTCCCCATGAGCTCATGACCCGGATCTTTACTCAGACGCCGGAAGCCCGGGGGGGGGGGGGTTGCTGCTTAGAGACGGCGCAAGCGCAGAGCGTCCAAGGACACAGGGAAAGCCTTGGCGCACGTGTGGCTGCTCTGCGTGACAGTCGGCCCGGAGCCAGGCACCTGGAGTTGCGGCTGGGAGAAGTCAAACCACCCGACGACTCATTGTTCTAGGCCTTCACGCAGCTCTCTCCTTTTACCCTCCTGGCACCCCGACCCAGCGTAGGACTTCTCGCCACATCTGGCCCGCAGCAGTGGATCTCGCCGCCAGCATCTGGAGCTGCATAAACCCGGACTGGTGCCCTGGGTCCTCCTCCGGGGTACACGGACCTGCTAAAGTCCTTGAAGCCCCCGGGGCTCAGTTTCCTCCTTGGTAAAGTGGAGGTGGTGGTCGTAGCTACCTCACAGGGTTGGATTGAAGGGCTCGTGTAGGAGAAAGGGTATGTAAAATCGCCCCTTGCAGTGCCTGGCACTTAGTAAGCAGAGAACGTTCGCTGCTGTCGAATTGATTGCGACTCAGACGACCCTATAGAGTAGAGTAGAACTGCCCCATAGAGTCGCTATAAGTCGGAATCGGCTCGAGGGCAACAGGTTTGGTGTTTTTTGTTGTATTTTTTTTTTTTTTAATTCGATTGCCTCATATGGATGTGAAAGTTGGACAGTGAATAAGGAAGACCAGAAAAGAATTCATGCATTTGAATTATGGTGTTGGCGAAGAACGTTGAATATACCATGGACTGACAGAAGAACAATTGAATCTTGGAAGAGGTACAGCTAGAATGCTCCTCGGAAGCGAGGATGGTGAGACCTTCGTCTCGTGTACTTTGGACATGTTATCAGGAGGGACCAGTCCCTGGTGAAGGACATCACCCTTGGTAAAGTAGAAGGTCAGTGAAAAAGAGGAAGACCCTCAAGGAGATGGACTGACACAGTGGCTACAATGGGCTCAAGCATAGCGACAATTGTGACTATGGCGCAGGACTGGGTAGTGTTTGGTTCTGTTGTACCTGGGAGCACTATGAGTCGGAACCCACTCAACTGCACCTAACAACAAACAACAATTCATTTCACTACAATCAGTAAATATTAGTGAGGACCATCTAGGTATTTGGATGGGGGTCAGTGACATAGGTGAACAGGACAGCCTTGGGGCTTGCTTTTTGGTGGGAAAACAGCCCCCTCCCCCCAAAAAACAATACATAATAAATAACAATCACACACTGTGATAAGAGTGATGAAAGAAGCCTAATAAGAGAGAATGAGAGAAGAATTCTCCGTATTACGGAGGGTCAAGGTCCCAGGGTGGGGCAAACGGTTGGCACTGGGCTGCTGACCGAAAAGGTTGGTGGGTCAAACCCACCTAGTGACGCAAAAGAAAGGCCTGGCAATCTGCTAGGTGACATGGGATCACTGTCTTAGTCATCCAGTGCTGCCACAACAGAAATACCACAAGTGGCTGGTTTTAACAAAGAGAAGTTTATTTCCTCACAGTCAAAGTAGGCTAAAAGTCCAAATTCACGGTGTCAGCTCCAGGGGAAGGCTTTCTCTCTGTCGGCCTTCTCATCGGTGTTCCCCTGGACTAGGAGCTTCTCGGCGCAGGGACCCCGGTCCAAAGGACGTGCTCTGCTCCTGGCACTGCTTTCTTGATGGTATGAGGTCCCCCAGTCTCACTGCTCTCTTCTGTCTTTTATATCTCAAGAGATTGCCTCAGGACACAGTCCAGTCTTGTAGATCAGGTCCTGCCTTACTAACACAACTGCCACCCATCCTCCCTCATTAACATCATAGAGGCAGGTTTACAACATACAGGAAAATCACACAATACCAGGAATCAGGGCCCAGCCAAACTGATACACACATTTTTGGGGGGATGTAATTCAAGCCATGACAATCACCATGAGTCAAATCAACTCTGCAGCAACGGGTTTGGGTTTTTGTTTTTTGCTTTTTTAAATGTACAGTCGTTACAACTCCCTCTCGACAACAGGAGCATCGTTATTTCAATTCACCCTCTGTCCCTCTCACCCCAGAGACCCTAAAACTCTTTTCCACTTAAATAGCTCCACCCTAAGCCTCCAACATCCCTGCGGTAAATTTTCAAAGCCTAGATTCCTCTTCTTGGCTGGAAAAAGGCAGAACCCAGCAGCTGCCAGGCCCTGGTCTTTCTCCTACTGGGCACCTCGTGCTGATTTCTTCATCTGTCCTCCCACGTAGACTGTCAGTCCCACAAAGGTAGAGGCCCAGTCTAGTTCATTGCCCTGAGCCCAGAGCCTAGCACAGTGCCTGGCACCATGCAGGGAGCTTGCTGAACGGAATAACTGCTCTCCTGTCCAGACTGGAGGAGTCCTAGTGGTGTAAATATTAAGCGCTCAACTACTAACCAGAAGGTTCACAGTTCAGACTCAGAGGCACCTCAGAAGAAAGGCCTGGTGATCTTCTGAAAGGTCACAGCCTTGAAAACCCTATGGAGTGCGGTTCTACTCTGCAACACGTGGGGTCGCCGTGAGTCAGAAGCGATTCCACAGCAACTGGCTTTAGCTCTGAGTAGATGCCACCCATCCCAAAGACAGACTTGAAAACTGGGAGGTGTAATATAAAATCACAAGTTCTGCTTTATGAAAACAGAGTTCTCTTACGACAGTAAGAGTGAATGTTAGAAGCCTATGTACAGAAATAAATCAAATAGTCCTTAATGCCTATGGAGCCCTGGTGGTGCAGTGGTTAAGAGCTCAGCTGCTAACCAAAACGTCAGTCATTTCAATCCACTAGGTGGCAATGGGTTTGGTTTGATTTTTAATGCCTGTAGCTATGCTTTGAACAATAACAAACCTTTAGAAGTAGCTTGTTTTGTTTCCCATATTTGTATCTAGGCGACCAGGCTTATTGACGCCGAAGAAGGGCTGGTTCCACTGTTTATTAACTTCACCTTAAAACTTACTCTTTAAGAAAATAATCGAGGATTAGTGAACGTGCCTTGTTTCCACGGCTTCAGAGGGCTTGTTACCGCGGCTCACTGATCCTGTGATTGTTGTGTGATTGTTTAGCAAGGTTTCTGTTTGAACTTTGATACTGTTTTAACACATACTGCCCTCTTAGATTTATGTATTCTGAATTAATTGTGGACCAATCAGAAGATGTATTCAGAGTTCCTGATAAAATCGTATATAAACACCCTGAAAAATCTTAACTCACTGGAGCACTAACTCACTTGGTGGTAATGTGCTATCCCATTTGCAAATTGTCTATTGAACCTGCAGAGCAATCTGTTAATGGTGTTCTGAGGTGTTCATGTTGGCAGAGGGAACCCGCCTGCCTTGCTCATCTCTATGTTCCCAGCACTCAGTACAGCTCCCGGCTCCTCTCCGCGTTCCCGCTCATCTTTATGTTCCCAGCACTCGGTACAGCTCCGGGCTCCGCTCCGCGTTCCCAGCACTCAGTACATCTCCCGGCTCAGCTGTGTTCTAGCACTCAGTACAGTTCCCAGCTCTGCTCCGCGTTCCCAGCACTCAGTACATCTCCCGGCTCAGCTGTGTTCTAGCACTCAGTACAGCTCCCAGCTCCGCTCCGCGTTCCCAGCACTCGGTACAGCTCCCGGCTCCGCTCCGCGTTCCCAGCACTCGGTACAGTGCCCGGCTCAGAGAGAGGAGGAGGCAGGAAGGGCATCGCAGAGGTGTGGGGAGGGACACAGGGTGGATGCAGGCAGGCAGGAAGCCTCCCACGACAGGAGAAAGGTGTGCAAACTGTGCAGAGCCAGGCCTGGGGGACGGTTGAGGTTTGAGGCGGAAGGAGCATGCTCTGCGAACTGTTCAATTCAATCCACACACTGTAAATTCGCTGTGTGACCGCAGGCCAGTCACAACCTCTGTGGGTGTGGGTTTTCTCCACTACAAAAGAATGGGATGGGATGCTAAGGACTGCCAGTTCTATAAACGATTTTAAAAATCTGTTTAGATTTCATGGTAGGAAGTGACAGGTGCTGGGTCTCTGCAGTCTTTGAGCGTCATCTCGGATAACCATTTGCAAGTGAAGCACCAACACGAGGTTCACTCCCGTCTAGTGGTGACAAACCAAAACCGAACCTGTTGCCATCGAGTTGATTCCGACTCATAGCAACCCTATAGGACAGAGTGGAACTGCCCCATAGGGTTTTCAGGGAGTGGCTGGCGGGTTCAGACTGCTGACCTTCTGCTTAGCAGCCTAGCTCTTAACTACTGTGCCACGAGGGCTCTTGAGCTTTATGGACAGATCTGCTGGGTTTCAGTCTTGGTTCTACCACTTCCAAGCTGTGCAGCCTTGAGCAAGGTATGTACCTCACTGGGCCAGAGTTTTCTCTCTTGTAAAATGGGGGTCAGTATGAGTCAGAATCGACTCGATGGCAATGGGTTAACAGTATCTACCTCTTAGGGTTGCTTTGCAGATTCAGTGAGTTTATGTAAAGGTGTGCCTGGCACCAAGAGCACACTCACCAAGGGTTAGCTGTCTCTAGCAGGGTCACACACGGTGGACAGGTTTCAGAGGAGCTTCTAGACTAAGACTAGGAAGAAAGGCCTGGCAATCCAGTTCCAAAAATTAACAATGAAAACCCTGTGGATCACAATAGCAGACTGTTCAATATAGTGCTGGAAGATGAGCCCCTGGATTGGAAGGTACTCTACACAGTGGCTGAAAGCTACATATTAACAGCCAAATGCAGTGGGGCAGGCCCCACAGCAGAAGGTCTGCCAGAGGCAGGTAGGCCCAGCTCTCCCCGAAGCCAGAGACCTGAGGCCTGCTCCGAAGATGCTCCTGTGGAGTGGCGCGGGCAAGCCCTGGGGAAGAGCCTGGAGCCTGGATGCTGAAGAGCCCGTGAGTCTGGGGTTCCAGAGGAAGGAGAGAGTCCAGGAGGAGGGTCTAGATCCAGCCGCCCCGTGAGGGGACGACAGGGAAGGCACCTAGGCTGTGGCAGCCTGGAGGCCACGGGTGACTTGGAGGGCAGCTGGGGGGTCCTGGGGGGAGCCAGGCTGCCATTGACCGTGGACGGTGGAGCCAGACGGTGAGCCTGCAGGGCAGCTGGTTCTCAAGGAGCTTGGCTGTGTCAGTCTCCTGGGGCTGCCGCAGCAAAGCACCACAAAGTGGGGGCTAAAACAACAGAAACTTATTGTGTTTAAAAAAAAAAAAACCCTCCCCCCGTCTAAACTTAACTCTTAACCCTTCACAGAAATGAAAAACTCGTGATAAAGACAGTTCTGGGAAAATTAAATAATCAGATAAGCCATAGAATGCAGACATGCAAACTAATAAACCAATCCAAGCCGCCTCCTGCCAATTAAGTCAATGACAACCAATCATTTTAAATTTCCCTCACAGTATGTACCGTATATATTGTTGTTAGGTACCGTCGAGTTTGTTCCGGCCCATAGCGATCCTATGAACAACAGAAGAAAACACTGCCTGGTCCTGCGCCATCCTCACAATCCTTGTTACGCTTGAGCCCATTGTTGCAGCCACTGTGTCAATCCATCCCGTTGAGGGTCTTCCTCTTTTTCGCTGACCCTCTATGAAGCATGATGTCGTCCTTCAGGGACCGATCCCTCCTGATAACATGTGCAAAGTATGTGAGACCAAGTCTTGCCATCCTTGCTTCTAAGGAGCATTCTGGCTGTGCTTCCTACACAGTTTGTTCTTCTGGCCGTCCGTGGTACGTTCAATACTCTTCACACTGTATTTAAGCCCATCAAAATTGTAATGTGACCAGCTCCTCCCTTCGAATGTGTGCTCCTTGCTCTCCAATGGTTTTTTCCCCTGCCCAATGAAGCCTTTTAATACTACTTGACTTAGTGATCAGATTTCTTGTTTCAACGGCTCTGGAGACCAGAAATCTGAGTTCAGGGTGTCAGCAGAGCCATCCTCCCTCCAAAGGCTCTAGAAGGGGATGCTTTCTCCCATTTTCTGCTAGCTTCACGCATCCCTTGGCTTGAGATGTATCTTCACATGGTTGTCTTCTCTCTGCATCTCTTCTCTTTTATAAGGATACCACTCAGATTGGATTAGGACCCACTCTACTTCAGTATAACCTCCTTGTCTTAGTCATCTAGGGCTGCTGTAACAAAAATACAAGCGGATGGCTTTAACAAAGAGAAATTTATTCACCCACGATTTAGGAGGTAGAAGTCCGAATTCAGGGCGCCAGTTCCAGGGGAAAGCTTTCTCTGTCGGCTCCAGGGGAAGGTCCTCGTCATCTATCTTTCCCTGTTCTAGGAGCTTCTCGGCACAGGGACCCTGGCACGTTCTGCTCCTGGCTGTTTTGGTGGTAATGAGGTCCCTTTCCTCTCTGCTTGCTTCTCTCTTTTATATCTCAAAAGAGATTGACTTAAGATACAACCTAATCCTGTAGATGGAGTTCCTGCCTCATTAACATAACTGCCTGTAATCCTGCCTCCTTAACATAGAGATTAGGATTTATAATAGAATAATCACATCAGATGACAAAGTGGTGGACAACCACACAATACTGGGAACCATGGCCTAGCCAAGCTGTCACACATTTTTGGGGGACACAATGCAAACCGTAACACTCCTGTTAACTGATACCGTCTTTAAAGACATTATTTGCAAACAAGATCATGTTCACAGGTGCAGGTATTAGGACTACAGCATATCTTTTCAGGGGACACAATTCAATCCACAGAGTACCTAGGTGATGCAAATGGTTTATGCGCTTAGCTGCTAACTGAAAGGCTGGAGGTTCAGGTCCACCCAGAGGTGCCTCAGAAGAAACGCCTGATGATCTACTGAAAAATCAGCCATTTAAAACCCTATGGAGCGCAGTTCTACTCAGGCACACATGAAGTTGCCTTGAGCCGAAACTGACTTGAGGGCAGTGGTTTGGTTTTTAATTAAATCCATAACACTGTGGTTCCTCAGAAAGGATGCAGAGATAGGGAAAGCTTTTTAAAAATAACTATTACGAGTTCTTTTTTTTTTTTTTTTAACTTTTTTTATTGTACTTTAGATGAAGGTTTACAGAGCAAACTAGTTTCTCATTAAACAATTAACACACATATTGTTTTGTGACACTGGTTGCCAGCCCCACGATGTGTCAACACTCTCCCCTTCTCGAACTTGTGTTCCCTGTTACCAGCTTTCCTGTCCCCTCCTGCCTTCTCATCCTTGCCCCTGGGCTGGTGTGCCCATTTAGTTATGAGCTCTTTTCTGATTATTAAATATATGTTGATCATAAAAATTTGGAACACATATATAAGCACAATGAATAATCACATCATGACAGCCACTGTGAATATTTTGGTATACATCCTTCCAGTCTTTTTTCTATATATACACAAATAGACATATACACACATATTAAGGGAGTATAAGCCAAGTTCAAGTTGCAGGGCTTCAAGTTTAAGGAAGGCTGAAGCTTCTGTTGTAGTGGGCTCCAGTCTGGGGAGGCAGGATGACTGCTCTGCTCACTGTTTTTTTAAGGCTGATTCCATTAACATTTCACTGATTCACAGGACACATATACAACCAAAACCCAAAAAACCAAACCCATTGCCGTCGAGTCGATGCCAACTCATAGCCACCCTACAGGACAGAGCAGAACTGTCCCGTAGGGTTTCCAAGGCTGTAAATCTTTATGGAAGAGGACTGCCACATCTTTCTCCTGCAGAGCAGCTGGTGGGTTTGAACCGCCAACCTTTTGGTTAGCAGCCGAGCGTTTTAACCACTCAACAGATGATAAAATTCCCTCACATTTTTATAAAAACTAACCAATATTTTAGCTGGGTCGAAAAAGTGTCCTAAAAGGTACATACTTCATCTCACTTAACCCCATCTGAGATGAGACATAGGGGGTTCAGTGGTAGAATTCTCACCTCTCACACGGGAGACCTGGTTCGATTCCCGGCCAATGCACCTCATGTGCAGCCACCACCTGTCTGTCAGTGGAGGCTTGCTGTCGTGCTGAACAGGTTTCAGGGGAGCTTCTATGCTAAGATGGACTAGGAAGAAAGGCCTGGTGATCTACTTCTGAAAATTTGCCACTGAAAACCCTGTGGCTCACAAATGGCCCTGTCCCTTTGTGCATGCTTGGGGTCCAACTTGACAGCAGCTAACAACAGTACAATTTTAGTACAGAGGCCAGAATTCTGTACACCATGAGCACCGGGTCAGCCAATGGCCTGGGGATGTAAATGCCCCAGGTGGGAAGTTGGAGCACCTGGGAAAGGATTTCCTAACGTCGTCTCTTGGAGTGACTCTGAGACTCTTGTCTGTTGGAAAAGCAGGGAAGGTGGAGGCCCCCCTGCCCTGGAAGGTGCTTGGATTTGAGGATGGAGTGCTGAGTGGCCTTGGCTTTGACCCCTGCGGGACAGTCCACAGGATGGGCGTCCAGACCATGGAGGAGAAGAGAGGCCAGCAGTGTCTGTATCCAGGCCATGGAGGAGAAGGGAAGCCGGCAGTGTCCGTATCCAGGCCATGGAGGAGTAGGGAGGCCGGCAGTGTCTGTATCCAGGCCGTGGAGGAGAAAGGAGGCCAGCAGTGTCTGTATCCAGGCCATGGAGGAGAAGGGAGGCCAGCAGTGTCCGTCGGGCTCGGCTTTGCAAAGGGAAGCCTATTGGCTGCTTGCTGGAGCTTGGGATCTAAACACATGGAGAGAGCTGGCTTAGTGGTCGTTCCTGCTGCTTGGGGGTCCTCAGCCACAGCAAGAGTGGACTGCACGGCCGGCATGGAGGGCTGGGATGGCTGTCCCCTCACTGCCTGGATGCCTCCCACTGGCCACTCCCATCAAGGTGCCTCTCCTGACTGCCTCCCCCAGCCCTCGGAACACAGGCAGGCCTAGGGCTGGCACTCACACCTCCTTCTGTCCTGGAGCCCGTCCCACGGGTCCTATGAGACCAGGCCTTCTACATCTCGCCTGGGCCACTGAAGCAGCCCTCTTGGTGGTGACCCCGCTGTGACCCACCCTTCACACAGCCCCTGCGGCCGCCTGCCCAGTGCAGCAGGATGCTGCGCTCCCCGGCGCCAGTCCTTCCACGTCTACCAATAGCAGCAAAAAGGCCCATCTCCAGAGAGCCCCCGGCGCGCCAGGTGCTGGGCGAGGGGCCCCGATGAGGCCTCACAGAGCCCCGTGGGGACGAGCCCGCCCCACTGAGCAGGAGACGGAACCAAGGCGCTGGTTTTCAAGAGCAGGGTCAGTCTTTGTAACTGGAACAGGACCTTTGTGCGCTGCATCCACAGTTTTCAGAATTCAGCGTGCAGCAGCATCACCCGGGCCATTTGTTAACCATGCAGATTGCCAGGTTCCACCCCCAGAGACTGTGATTTTGTAAGTCTGAGGTGGGGCCCTGGAATCTGCATTAACAGGCACCCTGTGTGCATGCATGGACATACACATACATGCACACACATGCATACACGCACGCATATGCACACACCTACACGCACATACAAGCATGCACACACATGTATATACAACTTGCACACGCACGCACACACACACGCATAGACATACACACGCCTGTGCGCACGCACGCTCTGAGAAGCCCTGCCTGGCTCCTGCCTCTCCCTCCTCCCTAATCTCCCTCTCTTTTCCCCACGCCCTGCTCCCTCCTCTGCTGCAGGCACCCAGGGCTCCTTCAGCAAACCACAAGCCCTGACACTCCACCTTCACCCTGCCCCACCTCCCCCTGCCTGATCATCCAGCTCTCTCCTCCCCTGCCATCAGAACTAGGCTTGAACGGATGCCTCCTCCAGGAAAGCTTCCCAGCCCTCTCCTCCAGGCCCCACTGCACCCTCTGCGGATCCCGATGACAATTCTCAGCAGATACACTGGGACATGGATTCACTCATTTGCACCCCCCCCAAGACAGGGCCTCCCTCCACCAGAGGACAAGCCCTTTGCCACCTTCTCGGAGCTCAGCAAAACGTTTTTGGAATGCTGCACGTGGTCTGATCAGATAAGAGGGGTGCCCGCCTGGCCCACACATCCATAGCCAAAATATTTACCTGGAAGTGGGGAGCAGACACGTCACCACTCGATAACAGACTCGGGAAGTCACCCACAGCAGCCACTGCAGGTCATCGTAAATATCCGGGGGCCACATCAGCAGTCTGCAGGGATGAAACCAAGACCATCACCACCCAGATGCACACACAGCAACACACAGACGCACACAACAGAGAGACACATAGACCCATGTAACACACTCAGACACACAACACACTAACACACAGACACAACATATGTAACACGCAGACACACACCAACACACAACATACAGACACACAGACACAACACGTGTAACACACACAGACACACAACATACAGAAGACACACAATACACACACAGACAAGACACAGACACACAACGCACACACAAATACAACAGACACACAGACGCAACACGTATACCGTATGTAACACAGACAACACATAACACCCAAAGACATACAACACACAGACACGCAGAAACACACGACACCCACCCACACCCACACAGACGAACGTTCCCCATAAGAGCGTACAGACCGGTCAACAAACAAAAAGAACAAAACAAAAACTAAAAACCCGAAGCAAACATCTGGCAACACCCTTGGTCGGGTAAGCTGAGAGTGTCACTCCTAACTCCAATTGGAGAGCCCCCAGAAGGGGGGGTCTGCGATCCGTTCCCGTAAAGATCACAGCCTAGAAAACCCCGTGGGGCAGTTCTTCGTCACATGGGGTCGCTATGAGTCCGCGTCCACTTGACAGCACACAGCAACAACAAATATATATGATATTTGACATTTCAACAATCGTCACACGCACAGCTCAGTGACATCATCTGTTCCCAAATGACACAACCACAGAGCTCAGTGTCCCCCCCGTAACCACAAATCTACTCTGGTCTCTGTGCATTTGCTGAGTCCAGACAGCCCATCTAAGCGGGGTCGTACGCGATCTGTCCTCGCTGCGTCTGTCTTCACTCAGCATGGTGTATTTTAGGTTCCTCAAGTCGTAGCAGGTATCAGGAAGGTGAGGCTGCTTTTGATCCAGGAAACCTCAAGGGATTTATACGGGAATAAAAGGAAAGGCCTTGGTTTCCCAGGTTCTACCTGTCCCAAAATGTCAGCTGACGGAACGTTTCTTGTGGTGGAGACCCCAGACCACTAAGTTGGGTGTGAGCCCAACAGAGGAGGCTGTGGGGAAGGGCTGACCACCACTGTCTACAGATTCCCAGCCGCCCAGACATAAAAAGGATCCCACGTTGCAGGCTTCGATAAATGCCGAATCCAACCTCAACCCAGGGCGAGGGGAGTGTGGGGGCAGGAGGCTAACTGTGGGGGTGGGGAAGGGGTATGGGAGGCTCGCCGAGAACAGCACTGAGCTGGACTCTACAAGATGGACAGAAGGCTATGCCAGACTAACCTGCCTGCCAGAGAGAAGGCAAACACCGAAGGAGAGCTGGAGAAAGCTGAGGTCAACAAATGCCCAGGATTCCAGAATGCACACGAGGGCCTGCCTCCTCCCAGCAGGAATAACACCCTGAAATCAAAGCCCAGCCCTACAAGAAATGAGTCCCTGAGTGGCACAAATGGTTAGGCGCTCAACTACTAACTGAAAGGTCGGCAGTTCAAATCCATCCAGAGGTGACTTGGAGACAGGCCCGGTCGTCTGCGTCCAAGAAGTTGCTGTGTTGTTAGGCGTCATGGAGTCGATTCCGAATCACAGTGACCCCATACACAACAGAACAAAACACTGGCCAGTCGTGCGCCATCCTCACAACTGTTGCCGTGTTTGAGCTCACTGTTGCAGCCACTGTGTCACTCCATCTCACTGAGGGTCTTCTTCTTTTTCGCTGACCCTCTACCAAGTATGATGTCCTTCTCCAGGGACTGGTCCCTCCGGATAACATGTCCAAAGTACGTGAGATGAAGTCTCCCCATCCTCACTTCTAAGGCGCATTCTGGCTGTACTTCTTCCAAGACAGATTTGTTTGTTCTTCTGGCAGTCCGTGGGATATTCAATATTCTTCACCAACACTGTAATTCAAAGGCATCCATTCTTCTTTGGTTTTCCTTATTCACTGTCCACCTTCACATGCATATGAGGTGACTGAAAACACCATGACTTGAGTCAGGTGCACCTTAGTCCTCAAAGTAATATCTTTGCTTTTTAACACTGGAAAAAGGTCTTATGTAGCAGATTTGCCCAATGCACTGCATCGTTTGACTTCTTGACTGATTCTTCCATGGGTGTTGATCGTGGATCCATGTAAAATGAAATCCTTGACAACTTCAATCTTTCCTCCATTTATCATGATGTTGCTTACTGGTCCAGTTGTGAGAATTTCTGTTTTCTATATGTTGAGGTGTAATCCATACTGAAGGCTGTAGTCATTGATCTTCATCAGTAAGGGCTTCAAGTCCTCTTCACTTTCAGCAAGCAAGGTTGTGTCATCTGCATAACACAGGTTGTTAATAAGTCCTCCTCCAATCCTGATGCACTGTTCTTCTTCATATACTCCAGCTTCTGGGATTATTTGCTCAGCAGACTAATTGAATAAGCATGGTGAAAGGATACAACCCTGATGCACACTGTTCCTGATTTTAAACCATGCAGTATTCCCTTTTCTTAGTCATCTAGTGCTGCTATAACAGAAATACCACAAGTGGGTGGCTTTAACAAACAGAAATTAATTTTCTCGCAGTTGAGGAGGCTAGAAGTCTGAATTCAGGGTGCTGGCTTTTTAGGGAAAGCCTCTCTCTCTCCGCTGGCTCTGGGGGAAGGTCCTTGTCTCTTTGAGCTTCTCCTCCTGGATGATCTTCGTGTGGCTTAATACCTCTCTTCCTCCATCTCTGCTTGCTCGCTTGCATTTAATCTTTTATATCTCAAAGGAGATTGACTCAAGATATACCCTACACTGATCCTGTCTCATTAACATAACAAAGACAACCCATTCCCAAATGGAATTATAACCACAGGCACAGAGGTTAGGATTTACAACACATATTTTTGGAGGACACAATTCAATCCATAACATCCCTTGTTCTGTTTCAACAACCGCCTCTTGGTCTACATACAGGTTCTGCATGAGCACGATTAAGTGTTCTGGAATTCCCATTCTTTGCTATGTTATCCATAACTTTTCATGATCCACATGGTCAAATGCCTTTGCATAGTCGATGAAACACAGGTACACATCTTTCTACATCCTGCTTGGTAGAGTGGAGGGTCAGCAAGAAAGAGGAAGCCCCTCAACGAGATGGATTGACACAGTGGCTGCAACAATGGGCTCAAGCATGACAACGACTGTGAGGACGGCACAGGACTGGGCCGCGTTTTGTTCTGTTGCACACAGGGTCGCTATGAGTTGGAACCGACTCAGCGGCACCTAACAACAACAAAACATGGACTGTTGTGTGGTGATGAAGAAGCCCTAGTGCCCCAGTGGTTAAGAGCTTGGCTGCTAACCAACAACAGCAACACATCTTTCTGTATTTTCTGCTTTTAGCCAAGATTCATCCGAAAGGTCACAGCCTCGAAAACCCTATGTAGCAGTGGCACTCTGCACACATGGGGTCACCATGAGTTGGAACTGACTTGATGACAGCTAACGAGAAGGAGAAGTGATAAATCTGTAGCAGTAAGGAGAAAGGAGGTGGCTTGGGCCGGGGATCACTGCGGAGCAGAGACGTTAATGGATTACTGGACTACTGCCAAGCAGAGACATTAATGGATTACTGGACTACCGACAAAGGGAGTGGGCGGGCTGTCAATGAAGCAGGCAGAGCAGGAATGCTTCGCCACGCCAAAGCCCAATAGCTCTTCTCCGGAGAAACCAACCAACATTCGGGGTGCTGGAAAAGCTTCTCATAGGGAGGTGGCACCCCCAAAGAGACCTCCTTCCTGTCAGCCACTGTCTAACCTCTCCCACCAGAGGGAACTCTGCCAGGTGACATACCTACCGCCTCTCGCCTGAGCTCCCTTGAAGGAGCGACCTGGCTGGAAGCCAGGCTGGTCTCACCCCAGCAAAGGAACCTAGCCCCATGGTCCTTTGGGTCCACATGACACAAGGACTGCCAGGCGCATGAGGAAAACGAGTAGCATGAAAGAGAAAGATGAAGACAAACAGAAGCATGGAGTCAAGCAGAAACAGCAGAGAGAATTGCTGACTGTGACTCATATAAACAAAGGATGACGACCCTCCACTATGCAAGCGTGATTTCAAAGGGTAGCAGGCACACGGCGAGATATCAGTCAGCAATGAAATGAGCTATCAAGTCACAAAAAGACATAGAGACCTCTTAAATGCACACTGCTAGGTGAAAGAAGCTACCTTCCAATTCTCTGACATTCTGGAAAAGATGAAACCATAGAGTCACCTTGAGGACTAAGGTGTGTCTGACCCAAGCCATAGCGTTTTCAATCACCTCCTATGCATGCAAAAGCTGGACAATGAATAAGGAAGACCGAAGAACTGACACCTTTGAACTATGGTGTTGGCGAAGAATATGAATATACCATAGACTGCCAGAAGAACGAACAAGTCTGTCTTGGAAGAAATACAGCCAGAATGCTCCTTGGAAGTGAGGATGGCGAGACTTCATCTCACGTACTTAGGACATGTTATCAGGAGGGACCAGTCCCTGGAGAAGGACATCATACTTGGTAGAGAGTCACCAAAAAAGAAGAAGACCCTCAACGAGATGGAGTGACACAGTGGCTGCAACAATGGGCTCAAACACAGCGACGACGGTGAGGATGGCGCAGGACCGGGCAGTGTTTCCTTCTGTTGTACCCAGGGTCGCTGAGAGTCAGCACCGACTCAATGGTGCCTGACAACAACAACAGCATTAAAAAAAAAAAAAAAGGAGGGGGGAACAGGCCTGAGACCCTGTCTAGGCCTGGCCCTCCCACTAGCTAGCTCTGTGACCTCAAGAGCTGTGACCACCCCTCTCTGGGCCTCAGTTGCCCCATGTGATAATAAGCAGTGGAATGGATACTGTGAGAGGCTCCTGCCAGCATCAGTCACTAGGTAAGCATGAGTCTGCACCTGGTTACAGGCACACGAACGAAGATGGAGGGCAACTGTCGGGGTGTTCTGTATTGACCAGAACTTCGGGAGGGCAGGGACTCTGTCCATCCTGCTGTCTATGCAGCCGGGCCCTGGGTATCATCTCACTGAATCGCACACTTGGCCCATGAGGAAGAGACAAAGTGACATAAGGCTCTCACTTTTGGACGACAGCGATCGCGGACTCCACAGGCAGGGTACAGGGCAGCATAAGATAGGATATTATCCTGACGGGCAGAAAGTTGCAAATCTTGCTCGTGCATCCACGTTTTTCTTTAATGGCTTCCCGCAGTGCTGAAAAATAGACATTGTCCACTCTGTGTAAGAATTATCCCCACCGCCAGCATGAAAACCAAACCACTTTAGCCCGTGGTGCTTGCAACATCTATGAAAGACACAGGGTTTCCGATGAACAACTCTCTTTTACATCAACAAATATTTTTGGAGGAGTTCGCAAACTTCTCTCACAAATAAACCAAGCCCAAACCAGGTGCTTTTGAGTCAACTCCAACTCATGACAACCCCATGCGTGGCAGAGTAGAACTGTGCTCCATAGGGTTTCCAATGGCTGATTTCTCCGAAGTAGATCACCAGGCCTTTCTTCTGAGGTGGCTCTGGGTGGACTCGAACCTCCAGCCTTTCGGTTAGCAGCCGAGTGCGTTAACCATTTGCATCACCCAAGGGCTCCTTCTTGTCCTCTGACTCCACTCAGTCACCAAGGCAAGTCTGTCCCCATCCACTGCGGTGTGGTCTCCTCCACCTCCGCCCACTCCTTCCAACCACCGCCCCGCCCCGTCATCCAAAAGGCCCTTCTGCCTCATAGGTTGGTCCCGCTCAGTCAAACACTCAGTGGATTACTGGAGTCAGCTGCACGGTTGAGGTCACAGTCCTGCAGACCGCCAAGTCAGCCCAGGACTTCTGACACCAAAGGCAAGGGGCTAGGGTGCAGCCACAAAGTTAGACAGAAGAGTCCACCCTCACTTCTGACACCTGCTGCTAGTTCGGGGGTCCCCAAAACCCTCATACTTCTGATAATTCGCTGGAAGGACTCACAGAACTCACTGAAAGCTATCATTAATAAAATAAACAGTTGCTGTCGAGTCAGTTCTGACTCATGGCAACCTCACGTATGTTAAGAGTAGAACTGTGCTCCATAAGGTTTTCAATGGCTGATTTTTGGAAGTAGATTGCCAGGCCATTCTTCCAAGGTGCCTCTGGGTGGACTCGAACCTCCAACCTTTGGGTTGGCAGTGAGTGCATTCCCCATTTGCAACCACCCGGGGACTCCATGGACACTCAGTGACTCTAACAAACACCTCGTGCCTGATGAGCTTCGCCTCGCACCCCTGAACTGGATTCGGTCTCCTTCTCCCTAGAACCCACATCCTTTTATGTCCTTCTCCAATGACCCTCTCATGATGCTGCAAGATGATCCCTAGACAGCTCTTGGCGCTCATCTACTGGAGTGTTGGTGGCTCGGGGGTGAGGGGTCATGCCTGATTCCCAGTCACCGTCTCCAAATGCCAGACACAGACTGCCCTCGGATTCATCTATCTGTCCGTCCCATACTGGGTGACATTATAAAATGCACCACCCTTCCGTGGGGACTCAAAGCTTTGGGTTTGGGGAAGGGGGAGCCGGGAGCAGCATCATGAGAAAGGAGGTTTTGTGGGGGCAGCAGGAGAGAATGGGGGCTGCAGAGGCATCGGAGGAATGTGTGGGTCTTAGCAGCAGAGTGCCCCTGAGTCAGCGTCAGGGGACAGTCAGACGGGAGCAGAGCCGGACTTCTGGAGTCAGGAGCGAGGACTCTGACCTGGAATGGGCTCTGCTGGAGGCTGTTTCCCTTCTGGCGATGGCCTGTGGGAAGGGAGCTCAGCAAGGCACCTGGATGGGTGGGAGGCCTGTGCTGGGAGGTGGTGGCCAGGGACCCAGCCTATGCCAGGTGGGAGGTGGTGGCCCAGCACCCGCCCTGTACCAGGTGGGAGGTGGCGGCCGGGGAACCGGCCTGTGCCGGGTGGGCGTTGGCGGCCGGGGACCTGGCCTGTGCCCGGTGGGCGTTGGCGGCCGGGGACCTGGCCTGTGCCGGGTGGGAGGTGGCGGCCCGGAACCTGGCCTGTGC